CTGTACCACCTTAAAGAGGGATTCCTGGCAGACCTAAATTGATTAAATACACTGCGCATTATCTTTGCGCATCTGGTGAGTGCGCATTTTATCTATTTATCGCCACTAACAGAACTGGTCAGAGAGGCCACCAAGAGGCCTACAACAACTCTGAAACAGTTGCAGGAATTTATGACAAAGAGTGGTCATTGTGTGCATGTGACAACAATATTACAAATTCTCCATAAATGTGGCTTGTATGGGAAGGCTGCAAGAAAAAAGCCACTCCTCAAGAATGGCCACATGTATTCACAAATGAGCTTTGCCAGAAAGCTCCTTGAAGATTCTGAGGGCACATAGAAAAACGTGTTCTGGTCAGATGAGACTAAAATTGAATTATTTGGCCTCAACACTAAGACCCCATGTACACGGGACACTTCTGAATGATGGAAACTGACTGCTGGAAAATGTAGGTTACAAAAAGTCTGTTTAGCCGCGTTTGCATAAGGTGTTTATGCGCGTTTGCGTTTAGAAGCATTTTTTAAAGATAAGCAAGGAGAACCTCCCAAATGCCCAGAATGCAATGAAAAGTGGTAAATTATTAACTATTTCAGACTGTTTCAGTGAAATACAGAGAGTAGAAGCAGAGACAGCAGCATGTGTTCAGATAATTAGGTTGAGTTGCTCATTAACATTTCTTTTGTTTCCAAGGGTGGGAAAGGTGACTGGTGGAGTGAGTCATTAAGGTCACCTGGCAGGGGGTCTTCATGAGGAATTTGAGGTGTGAATGGTCATTAACATATCTTTTGTTTCCAAGGGTGGGAGAGGTCTGAGGTGTGAATTGGTCATTACAATGTGTGACAAGCTTGGTAGGAACATCCTGTGTTCAGTGTTTTGTCTATTTGAGTGCCTTAAAAACACTTTGCATGCATTTTTCATGATGAAAAAAGGCTCTGGACGGCATCGGGAACTGGAAGAGTTAAAAAAAATGTTCAAATGCAAATGCTTATAAACACGATTTGCCGCGTTTAACCACGTTTACAAGCACTTTGCGCTTGAAACGCTGATAAAATCGACTGCTGAACGCAAGTTTTCTGCGTTCAAAAAAAACTACTGTAAACTGAACTGCCTGTAAACGACTGTAAACGAAGATGTGTACATGGACACATAGGAAAACATTAGGGTGAGTTCAGGGGCTGCTGAATAAAATGCTGAACAGCTCCTAAATGTGCGTTTATCAGCTGCAGTGTACATGCGCCCTAAATGATATGTCTGGTGGAAATCCAATACAGCTCACCATCCAAATAACACCATTCCTTATATTGTACAGCGCTGCGCAAACTGTTGGCGCTATATAAATCCTGTATAATAATAATATAATAATTCCTACAAGTAAAGCATGGTGGTGGTAATATCCTGTTATCGGGGTGTTTCTCTGCAGCAGGGACTGGAGCATTTGTCAGGATAGAAGGAAAAATGGATGGGGCAAATTACCGTCAAATTCTTGAGGAAAATCTGCTGCCGTTGTCAGTGGGAAGAAGGTTTACCATTCAACATGACAATGACCCAAAGCACACAGCAAAAATGACCACACAGTGGTTGAATGAGAAAAAGGTGAATGTCCTTGCATGGCGTAGTCAGAGCCCAGACTTAAACCCCATTGTAATCTGTGGAATAACTTGAAGGCTACAGTATACAAATAGTCATCATCATATTTAACTGAACTTGAGCAGTTCTGCAAAGAAGAGTGGGCAAATATTGCAAAGTGTAGATGTACAATGTTAGTGGAGACATATCCCAATAGACTAAAGGCTGGAATTAAAGCAAAAGGTGGTAAGACAAAAAATTGACACAAGGGGATGACCTTTTTTTCAACTCCGTGATTCTGTTATTGAATTTTTTTTTAAAAAATTCCGACATGTTGATGTTATATCTTTCACTTGGATGTTATAAGTTACGCTGAGTAAATACAGCTGGATAAAACAAACAAATACCCGGAAATTCCACTTTAAAGTGTATGTAAAGCTAAAATACATTTTTTTTTTGATAGCGTAAGAAACAACTATGATCCAGGGGCGGACTAACCATTTGGAAACTCGGGCACTGCCCGAGGGCCCGGGGGCAGTAGGGGCCCCATGAGATGCCCCTGGTACCTTTTTCATAGGCTTTTTTGAGTTTGGGCAAGGACACAGGGGCCCCATGATCCCCTATTGCCCGGGGGCCCCATGAGTTGTCAGTCCGCACCTGCTATGACCCCCTTTTTTTTGGTGTTTGTGTCCTATCAGAGAGATTTATCTTAACTTCCTGTCCCAGACAAACAGCAGGAAATAAAAAGTTCTTTTCCAGAACAAGGGAAAATTCTCTTCAAGGCTCGAGTATAAAAGCTTTATTTCTGTATTTCACTGGAGTGTCCCATATTGAAGAAAAAATATATTTGAAATACATTTTGAAATATTCTTCCCAAATATATTAACATATACTTAAAATGCTACAATTTTGGCCATATTCCACATATTTCAAAAATATATTTCAATAAAATATATATATATATATATATATATATACATTTCAAATATACTGTATGTCTTTAAAAATACAAATCTACATTTTTTTAAAAATATATGTTAAAATTACTTTTTTATGTGTTAAAAAAATCTGAAGACTATATTTAAAAAAAATATATTTGTAAAAATATATTTTTCATATATTTTGTAATATATAAAATACGTATTTCAACATGCAGTATATATATATACTATATATGTATATGTGGGCAGCACAGTGGTTAAATGGTTAGCACTTCTGCCTGCCAGCACTAGGGTCATTGGTTCAAATCCCAGCCACAGCACCACCTGCCTCGAGTTTGCATGTTCTCCCTGTGCCTGCGTGGGGTTTCCTCCGGGTACTCCAGTTTCCTCCCACACTCCAAAGACATTCTGGTTGGTTAATTGGTTCCTGTCTAAATTGCCCTAATATGTGTATGTATGAATGTAAGTTAGGGAACTTAGATTGTACACCCCTTGAGGGTTAAGGACTGATGTGAATGTACAGTATATATGTGTAAAGTGCTGCATAAATTGACAGCGCTATATAAGTACCTGAAATAAATAAATATATATATATACTGCATGTTGAAATTCATTTTTTATATATTACAAAATATATGACAAATTTCTAAAAAATATATATTTTTTAAATATATTCTTCAGATTTTTTTTAACATAAAAAAGTCATTTTAATATATATTTTTACTTATATTTGTAAATGCATTCCAAAAATGTAAATTTATACAGTATATTTGAAATGTATTTTTAAAAATAGCTTTCATATATTTTGTAATAAAAACGCATTTCAACATGCAGTATATATATATTTATTTATTGAAATATATTTTGAAATATATTGAATATGGCCAAAATTGTAGCATTTCAAATATATGTTAATATATTTTGGTAAGAATATTTTTTTTTTAAATATATTTCAAATATATATTTTTCTTCCGTGTGGGGTACCTTTAAGGAAAACTGAAATTTCCTATCTATTTTTATCATTTCCTCCCCATCCTTCCACCGAACCCACCCAGAAACATTCGCACAGCAGGGTAGCCTGACAGATTATTTGTGACTGACATATGTAAAAAGAACAATTCATCTTCATTATCAGTTTATACAAGTGTCACATCTGGAGTTTGATAAATAGACGTCATTAGCATCCTCATTTTTACAGCCAGCCGTTTTATCACAATAATGGGAATGATGAAAATTAATACACTTGCACAATCACAGCCCGCAAGAAAGATGCGTGAGGGCAGATGTCGTCCTTCTTGCCCTGTAGCGCTCTATAATACGGATTTGAAGAAACAGTAATCCCAAAATAATTAGCTGCTAGAAAAAGCAACACTAACAAACATTCACAGGTTTGTAGAAAAATACATACATCTGGACAGAAACTGACATATCTGACCTTTATATGATGCAGAGTGTCTGTGTATGACTGCGCCCTCTACACAGTCTGACTACACTGGACATTGCATTCCATAAAATAACAGACCTGGTCAGACATGCCCCCTCACTTCCTCCGTGTAAAGCTGGCCATAGGTGAGAAGAAAATTGTCCAAAATTCTGTTTGAAATGCACGCTCGTTCGACTTTTTAATGTAGTGGGCTCATGCGATTCTCAAAATGAAGGAGGAGGGGAGGGAGTGGGCTGTCATTTACCACCGTGTATATTTTGAAATGTGAGTAGTAGAATCGATCAAGAATAACATGATTAATCATAGTGTGCATGAGCATGAGCGTTTATTCTGTAATTAATCGACAAAAATTATTACCTTTTGTGTTGTGCACCAATTACAATATGTTGACAAGTGGGGGAAAAAACTTGTATCGATGGCATTATCATACACTTGTTCAACAGGTCTTTATCAAATGCGAACAAATTTTCAAATGATTTTCTGCTCATCTATGTCCAGCCTAGGGGGTGTGGCTGTTACTAAGCTCTGCCAGCACAGAGCACTGGGGTGAGAGTGCAATGATCACCTCCGAAAGAAAAGGACACGTTAAAGTGATACTAACCACGCACTGTTTAACTACTTGCCTACAGGGTACTTTTACCCCCTTCCTGCCCAGGCCAATTTTCAGCTTTCAGCGCTCTCACACTTTGAATGACAATTGCGCGGTCATGCAACACTGTAATATGGAATTGTTATCATTTTTTTTTCCACACAAATAGAGCTGCTTTCTTTTAGTGGTATTTAATCGCTGCTGGGTGTTTTTTATTTTTTGCTCTGTAAAGGAAAAAAAGAACAAAAATAAAAAAAAAGGTTTTTCTTTGTTTTTATTATAAAATTTTGCAAACAGGTAAATTTTCTCCTTCACTGATGTGCGTTGATGCAGCTGCACTGATAGGCAGCACTGATGGTCACTGATGAGGCAGCACTGATACGGAGCACTGATGGGCCCTGATAGGCTGCACTGATGAGGCGGCACTGGTGGGAATTGATGAGCAGGCACTGATGATTCTGTACTGATATGTAGCACTGATGGGCACTGACAGGCGGCACTGACTGACGGTACTGACTGGCGGTACTGATGGGCGGCACTGCTAGGCAGCACAGATGGGTGGCACTGATGGGCACTGAGGGGTACCACTGCTGGGCAGCACTGTTGGTAGCCACTGCTGGGCACTTTTGGGGCTGCACTGATAATCAGTGCCTTGACTATCTGTAGAGATGTCCTCAGTCAGAGATGTCACAGTATGAGGAAAGCACTGCTGTTATCGGCAGTACTCTCCTCATACTGTGACAGCATGAGCACAGTGCTGCCGATAACCAGCAACTATATTTACTTTGTGATTAGCTGTGTCATTGGACACAGCTGATCTGATCACGTGGTAAAAGGCTGCTGTGATTGGCCTTTTACCTTGTCATGTGATCAGCTGTAGGACACAGCAAGGAAATAATGTCACCAGCACACCGAGGATCACCAATATGGGTCCAAATTGGTTATCCTCGGTGTGCTGGTGACATTTTTTCCTTGCTGATTTTGTTTGGTTCCAGCCGACGGTCACTGCAGCACCCACTTATACACACAGCAATTTTTAATGCAGGAACGTGTGCGTTTGGATTATACACTTACGTAAGACACAGCAATCACACATAGCGCTAGGTTTGCACTGCTGGGGGCGTGTTCTGGGGAGGACGTCATATGACACCCACCCAGAACTAGACAATTGCGCTGTAGCTGTCATTCACAGTACCTTTTTCCTAATTGATATACAGCTGTCACATGACCCAGCTCTCTCCCAGTCTGTCTGCAGGGAAAAAGTGTCAGGAGGAGCTTCAAGTCTTCTGCTGCTTGTCACATGTTCAAAATAAAAAAAAAACATCCTTTGGCATACAGAGTAAAAATAAAAATAATATCAATAAACTGTTTTAAATTGTCATACAAATATATATTTTGAATAATATCTTTAATATTTTTTGGCAGTAACATGGCGTGGGCAGATTTCTCCCAATCAGCCTGTGTCTTAGAATAACAGGGAGGTGAAGACTCCATCAATCAATCACCCCTATTGTGTTTAGCTGGTTAGTGGGCATGGAGAAGGATGGAGGGAGTGGGCTGTCATTTACCACTGTGTATACGCCCACATGTGTGACTCTCTATGGGCTGCTCAGATGTAATAAGAAGGAAATGCTCAGGGTAGAAATACACTGAAAACTGATCATGTGACTTAGCTGCCAACACTGCTCTGTAAAATCCTCAACTGCAGTGGGGAGATGGACAGGAGGGGGAGACAGAGAATAACAGGATCAACCAGGTGTTTTGCATAATACAGAAAACAAATCCCATAGTGAATGAGTAAGAATGAAGAGCATGTAATACAGCATTTATTGATAGTTTTTAATGCTGTGGGTGTATTGACACTTTAAGGCAATTCCAACAACACGTGGGGGTAAAGAGATAAAAAGGCATGAGACTTCCAATTCAGCCTTAAAGGTATATTCTCACAAAAACTACAATTGTTTTTATTTTACTACACTCAGATGACGTAGCATACCTGTTAACTTGCTTTAATTTCCACCCTAGGAATCATCTTTGCTGTCCTGCCAGCTAATGTCCCTTAATTGATAAGTTCCATGCCTTCTGAATGGCTGTATGTTCAAGAAGAACTACCACAAATACAAAAATATAATAAAAGCCAAATAAAAGATAAAAAAAACAGCTGTTGCTGCAACATTCAACGTGAAGATTTACTTTCTTTCTGCTGTCCTCAGTCTGTTGGCCAGCATCCTTCAACCCACTTCCTCTAAGCCAGTGTTTCTCAACTCCAGTCCTCATGGACCCCCAACAGGTCATGTTTTCAGGATTTCCCTCAGATGAAACAGCTGTGGTAAATACTAAGGCAGTGAAACTGATCAAATCACCTGTGCAAAATAATGGAAATCCTGAAAACATGACCTGTTGGGGGCCCATGAGGACTGGAGTTGAGAAACACTGCTCTAAGCCAAGGTCTTTCTGGGTCCATCCCAGCCTGTGACTGGAGAGTGAAAGAAAAAGCAGCACAGCGATGAGCTCATCTCTCTGTCACTCTCCTCTCTCCTGCTAACAGCATGCTTCGTGTCAGTATATACAGTATACATTGCCTCCTTGTATTGCTTTTTCCTCTCACACTCCAGCCCCACTGTACAGGAATTACAGGAGAGGTAATATCAGGTCACATTCAGGAACTTATACTACTTGCATGTAGGAAATATATTTATTGATGTATTATTGATTACAGAGCTGCATTTCTTTGTTTCTGTTCTATCTACAGTTCAGCTTTACCAGTTATGCTGGGAGGGATAAAAAAAAAGAGAGAAACATAAGGATTTGAAATTCTCACTTCCTGGGAAATACAGACAGCTATAAAAATCTTGCTAAGAGGTCCAGATACAACTTTATTCCATTAAAAGTCAGGGGTAAAATCCACAATGTATTTAACACATTTTTGAGGTCCAAGATGTAGTGTGCTTGACTAACAAAAATGTGAACAAAACCAGAAGTGGACTGTGTAGCAATCATGCCCACAGAGATGGACGCGGTTCAACCATTTTGGCTCCAACCTCCATCTTGGCAAAGGATCATCCACCTTGTACAAACATATCTCCCCTCATTCTCCCCTTCCCTCTCTGAGAGTCACAGTGACATTTGGTCAGTGTGTGTTGGAAGTGTCACAGGCTGGCCAGGGCACAGCTCCGAGCTATAAACCATCTCTGAGCTGGCTGCCAGGCGGGCTGGGAAGCTGAGCAATCTGGCACCTCATAAAAAGATAACCCAAGCCTTCCCCTGAGTTCAAAGACATTCCAGAGGAGTAAGAAGCTAGATAACACTTTTAAAATCCATTTTTTTCCCTATGTCTCATATCTTGGAACATGAGAGACTTACATAAAAACCAGACCTATCTTCAGATTGCCCACAATCAGACAAATCATTTGATAGGTCACACTCTCTGACTGGAATACCTAGGAAAGCAGAAAATTACATCTCTTGAACCTTTCAAGTATGTATTTCATATTTCATATGTAACCGTTCCTCAGATGCATCTGCATATTAAGCTACCCGCGGGTGGAATGTTACTCGTGCCTAGGAAAAGTTATGAGCCAAAATATGAGCTATGAGAGATTTTGGTTCTAGTTTGGGTCTCCGCCCAGACAATCCCTCCCCAAATGAGGCATTGGTCCTTGGCATCAGAGACACCCCCTGCTGGGGGACAACAATATAGGCTGTCAGGCCTAAGAGAAGAAGTTGAACAATTCTCCCGTTTAACATCAGAACCAACTTGGGAGATGGCCCTTTTGCTCTGAAACTTGATCTTAACCCAAGGCTGATTGGCAAGTACTTTAACCCTTTAACCTCCTTTTTGTTACCTCTTTGCTGTGCTATTGTTCTCTTTTTGTATTTATATATATATTGGTTACATCTTTTTTTGTAAATATTTTTATTGCACCCTTTTAGTAATAAATCTTTCTTTCTGAAAGTGTTGAACTGTTTCTATAGCTCGTTAATGCAAAACTTACGAATTCCTGCCTCTAAAAGAGCGCTACTGTGTTTGTTTAACCCTCTGTATAACCTGTCTGTGGTGACAGCGCTATACAGACGATTATCTCAACCATCATAGTGTTATTGCTGATATTGCCGAGTTTCCTCTCTTCTCTGTACAAAAAAGAGGTGGTGGCAGTGTGAAGGGTTAATTGTGTAATTAACTTGACCCAGTAACAATCGCATTCAGGCTGCCGGTACATCGATTTGTGGTCCATTAGCTGGAAAATCGTTGTGCAGGGTGCAGCTGGGCATGGCATTGTTACGCACATGACATCGCGGTTTCAGATTGGCTAGTCCTTCGGTCACGAGTTTAGTGAGAAGGTCAGGGATCTGACGCGCGATCGTCACAGACTGGACCTACAATGATATTTTTTCCCAGTGTGAATTACAAGCACATGCCTTTTCAGTAGCTTGTATGGGCCCCCAAAACACGTTGCCCACTTTTTGGATTGTACTCCTGGTGTCTAATGGAATAAAGTTGTATCTGGACCTCTTACATTACACTACAAGCCAAAGAAATTTTGGAGATCCTCTGGGTGTAGATGCTGCCTGCTGGGGAACCAGATAATTTCCATCAATATCTTAACTACTTCCCATCCGACCCATGTACATAAACGGCCAGACAGGAGCAGTGCCTAAGCGGGTCGCCGTTTATAAATGTCCCCCACAATAACTGCCTATGTGCGCTCCCTGGGAGTGATCTGGTGCCTGCTGTGTCCTCTGGACACAGCAGAACACAGATCGCTGTACGGGACCTCTGTTTGAGGTCCCGATTCATGTGATCCCTGATTGGCCAATCAGTGATCACATGAATAGTAGTAAGCAAGATGTTTCGTCCTGACATCATTGCTTACTACTTGTGAAATCTGTGAATGATCACAGAGGTCACATGGTACAAGGCTATTCACAACAGCCTTGTACCATGTGACAAGCTGTAACCAATCACAGCTCCCACAGTATTTCTCAATGGTTGCAAGAATGCAGCCAGAGAGAAGGAGAAATGATTGCTTTTACTGCCTTTATGGGTGTAAAAGCAATCAGTGTAAAAAAAGAAAAAAAAATCTTCATCACCCCCCATAAGTAGTACAGTGTCACTATGGTGACACTACTGCTAGGGTGACAGTATGTTAAAAAAACAAAAACAAATAATAATATAGAAAAAAAATAAAAATGGAAAACAATTTTTTTTTAATTATAATTTTTGGTTATAAACTAATTTGGGTTATTTTTTATTTTACGAAAGAGATAGCTGAATACATATTGGCCAACATTTATGAAGAAAGATTATTTATTTCCCAAATTTTTTATAAGAAAAAAAACTTTTTTTTTTTCAAAATGTTTGGATTTTTTAATTTATATAGCAAAAAAATAAAAATCCCAGTGGTGAATAAATACCACCAAAATAAAGTTTTATCTGTCTCAAAAAAATGCTAATAAATTCATATGGGTACAGTGTTGCATGACCGCGCAATTGCCATTCAAAGTGTGATAGCGCTGAAAGCTAAAAATTGGCCTGGA